ACGTCAACATCAACATAACTATTAACTGTAATATTTTAATATATGAAAATGGACCTCTAGGGCTTTCTAGAAGGGTATAACATTAGTCATTTGGTTAAGTAAGTCGGAGTTATTAAACTCGCAAAATAACTTTCAAAAATGAACTTTTAGATTTGCAACATCAACTTCAATCCTAAACTAGTATTGATATAATTAACCAATGGTTCTAAGATTTTACACGGTTATAGCCCTATATAATAACAACAACTTAACATAACCTTATCCATAAACATCATATGAGAGATCCTCAAAGGGTTGTTTCTCTTAGGTGCTCAACATAAGGAGATCCGCATAGGGTTATTTCCAAGGGAAGTCCACAATCTCACACGGTGCTTCCAAGAGAGATCCTCAAGGGTTTCTTTTTCTCTTATTAGGCTCTTACCACATGGAGATCCATATAGGGATGTTTCCAAGGGAAGTCCCTAACCTCAATCTAGGAACCTCCAAGAGAGATCCACATAGGGTTGTTTCTCTTGAGCTCTGACCACATGGAGGTTCACATATATAGGGCTGTTTCCAAGGGAAGTTCCTATCAATCATCCTCATCATAATACTATCAATTATAACTTCAATAAATCTTTACAGTCAAATATCACTATACAATTGATAATCAATCAACGATCATTAAGAAATCATAACATTTATCAATGCATGAGTCAATGCATGAGCATATATTTACTATTATCATTACATATCACACCTATAAACCATTCCTCCCGAATGGAGTATGGTGGATCACTCATAGGGATCAACCCCAAGGTCCGAAGGTTTACCTTGCACTTGAACTTTCCCACCTTCTAAAGAACCAAAACACTTATCTTAGCTTCAAAATGTTGGTCCCGGATGAACTTAAAAAGGGGAGACTTCGTTTATTGAAAATTTTGCAATTTAAAAACACACAACTGCGATAAAATAAAGAGTAAAAGGAAGAAGCAACACAATTATTTTAACGTGGAAAAAACTTCAATTGGAGGAAAAATCCCACGACCCCAATCTGGATACCTTTATTCAATTGAGAGACAAATCCACTATTGATCAATTCAAAGTATAAGAATATACCTTATTCTACCCTTATACAAGAATGAACCTGAATCCTAAGGTTTTCAGAACCCTACCCCTAGGATTCTCACGGAGTCTAATCAAAGCCACTCTGAAGCCAAACGGCTCTCGTCTATATTCGAATGAATAAAGACTGATTTATTTCTAATACGACCTTTTCCAAGGTCAAGAAGAAAATCCAATTAATATTGGTTACCTTACACGCTTCTAAATAATAAGCAAATAGGTACAAATAAAACCTAAGTGGTGAACTCAATGAATTTACTTATGCCTTGATTCCCAAATTAGTTTGAATGCACCTTAAGAAAAAATACTCATAATATGCTCAATGCATTTTTTCTTTTGAATGGTAAAAATTCTTTTTTCTCTTGAATGCTCAAAAACCTTTTTCTCTTGAAAGCTCACAAAAACCTTTTTCTCTTGAACGCTCTCAAAAACCTTTTTCTTTTGAAAGCTCACTACCACTATGGAGAAAAGCTCCAAGTATGGTATTTATAGATTTTTTCTCAAAATCAAAATATCTAAAGTTTATTATAATTTTTAAGAAAAATTTCCAAAATATATTTTTGAAAATAAAGTCAAAATCTTCATATTAACTTTCCAAAAATAAATAAAATCAAATCTTTTAAAAAGAAAATTAATATCAAATTTACTTTTACTTTTTCAAATTAAAAACCAAATCTTAAAAATCTATTTGGATTAAAAATGAAACTTTTAAATCTTCTTTCCTTAATTTCCAAAACTTTAAAGATTCTAACCCAAGGCACGATCATGATTCACCTCATCTAACCATTATATGAAATCTAAGATTTTATCTTGCAACTTTGATCCTCATGATTTCATGACAATTGTGTTGTATTCTCTTCATCACAAATTATCACAAATTAAGTCCTGCAATAAACTTTCAATAACTAAACAAACTGTTAAATACTTTGGCTTCACTTATTTGTTATCATCAAGACTAGACAAGGTGTGTACCCAACACAAGACACCAAAAATGGCGCCTCTCACAAAGAGGGATTTCTCTTCTCTCAAAGATTTTCTAAGGGATTTGTTTGGTGCGATATGTTCACTGTGTGGTTCTTGACATTTTTCATGACCAAACTTTCTTGATTTGGTGGCTTGATCTCAAATAAGTATTCGAGCTTCAATGGCTATGGTGGCTCGGTTAAGAAGAGAAGAAGTCGATGGATGAAACACTTAGGAGAAATAAATCATGTTTTGTTTTTTTAATCAACTTTGACTTTTAAGTCACAAATATCTTCAAAGTTTAATAAATTGTAACTTAGTCCTTCTTCACTTATTCCTTTGAAACTTAAGACTTAAACTATTCTCCATATTTTTGACATCACCAAAGTCATTTAATAATGTCTCACTACATTATTTATCAGTTCCGGGTAACTTTTTTCTAATTACGTTTTTATTTCAAAACTTTCAATATTTACACTTTTGCCGTAAAGTGACTTTATTTCTCAAAATTATACCTATCATCTAATAAATCTTTATTTAGCATGATTATTAAATTCTCCACTACAACATCAAAAATTTCATTTGTACTAATTTGTCAATGAAATTCTTTTGTTGAAATATATTATCACTTGCTAGTCGAAAAGGGCTATTGCCTATTTTGCTAAACAATTTTCATAGATCTGATTATAATTTTGTTAATTATGCATTCAACTCATTGTCATTTTAAAATATGAAATTTGTTATAAATAATATTATTTGTGGATATCCATACTCCGAAAGAGATAGTGTGTAACTTTTGTAACTTCTAATATGTAATTAGGAGGATTCAATTTTGTCATTTTTTTTTTGATAACATTTAGGGCCGAAGCCCCAAACAAAAACAAACAAACAACCAGAAACAAAAAATAACTATCCAGGGTCTATATCCCTACAAGAGGAGATTCCCTGAAGATCGTGATCAAATAACTGAGCAAGGTGAAACGACATAACTCTATGACTCCAGAATCCAGTATCTTTGTGAAGAGCAGACTTGGCTAACCAATCAGCACAGGAATTAGCTTCTCTTGGAATATGAGAAAGCGTTACCTCTCAATCCTGACCGATGAGTGCTTGTATCTTAGCCACTATACGAGGCTGACAAGCTGCATTGCAATCAGCAAGCAAAGAGAATACTTCAGAAGCATCTCCTTCTAGTTCCACCTTCTTAAATCCCAGTTGCCAAACCAATTCCAGACCTTTTAGAGTTCCCCAAAGCTCCGCCATTAAAGGAGTGCAAGCACTAATATGATACTCAAAGCCTCCCAACCAAGAGCCATCATCAGATCTGATAATCCCACCACAAGCAGCCACCTCAGTATTCCTTTCAACTGCCCCATCAATATTAATCTTCACCCAATTTAACCTTGGAGGTTTCCATAAACTCATACGAGTTGGATGAATGCTAGTAGTAGCCATAGCCTTCCTGCCCATGCAGTTACGAACTTCCTCTATATACATAGCAATTATGTGCGTTCCATGGGTTGGATGCTTGAAGTTAGTATCATGGACACTTTTGTTCCTCCATCCCCAAATGAACCAACAAGAGATAAAAAAGACATCACGCCAATCATCTGAATTACTTTGATTCCAAGCTTTTGATATATTATTTTCAACCCAATCTCTAAGATCTAAGCTGTAGAATAAGCTTTGCCGATTAGCTGAAACCAGAGAATTCCAAACACTTCTAGCATGCTTACAATCTCTTAGAACATGGAGGTTTGTTTCCAACTCACCAGGACATATTTTACAATGACCAGATTCCCCACTCCATCTAGATGTGCGGTCTTTAGTAAGAAGGCGGCCATGCATTATGATCCACATACAAGATTTAACACGTTGAGGCCCATGCCATTTCCATATGGTAGTCCAAGAATTTTTCAACGGCATGAGAGGGAAACCAAGCATGTTGTAATACGCGGTTTTAACTAAAGAGCAGCCAACCTTTTGATTTCTCCAAATAATGCGGTCATTTCCATCCGATGCGCTAGGAATGAGAGCAGCTTGGATCCTTGCAACAGCTTGATCATTGAGATATTGACGAATATAGGGAAAGTTCCATTGACCAGTATTGCTGTTCACGAAGGCACTAACAGGGAGATTCAACTCCAAACCAGTTGGAGTACGAGTAGCCAGAGAGGCAAGACACTCAGTTAAACCCAACCAATTGTCTGTCCAAAATAATGCATCATTACCGTCTCCAATCTCCCATTGCATTGCTTGAAGAAAAGATGGCCAAACACTACACAGATTTTTCCAGAAGTATGAGTCATATGCTTTATGATTTACTTCCCTCCGAAGATCCAAACCTCTCTTATATTTACTTGTTACAACTCGAACCCACAACGAATCGGGCGACGTAAGTATCGTCCATGCAAGCTTGTGAAAGAAAGCCATATTTTGGACACGAAGGTTAATCACCCCTAAGCCACCCATGCTCTTAGGCTTGCAAATATTATCCCATGCAACCAGATGAGATCTCCTTTGACCATTTTTATCACCCCAAATAAAGGCACACTGCAACTTCTCTATTTCATCACAGATGGCTACAGGAAGCAGACTGTGTTGCATTTGAAATATAGGAGTTGCTGAAATAACGGAGTTGGAAAGTGTAATTCGACCGGCAAAAGATAAGACCTGTTACTCCAACCAGATAACTTGTGCCTAATTCTTGCAACAACATCAGCATAATGGTCTTTGGTTACTCGACCATGTTTCATCATGGACCCAAGATATCTTCCTATATTGTGAGTTTGCTTGAAGCCACACACATTTGTGATATCATCTGCAATGTGAGCATCTGTATTTTTCGAGAAAAAAATACTAGATTTCGGAATACTAACCTTTAGGCCAGACATTGAACTAAAAGTCTCCAAGCAATCCACTATAACATTGAACTAAAAGTCTCCAAACATCAGATGGGCTATCTTAGGACCTTTTGATCCCACGGAGATTGGCTTCCATATCTTATTGTCAACCGCATCTTGAATGAGATGAGACAATTTTTCCATGGCTAGAACAAAAATGTAGGGAGATAAAGGATCACCCTGACGAACTCCTCTTGAAGGAAGGAAGTCACCTGCAATGGCTCCATTCCAAAGCACTGAGACCTTATCAGAGTTGATACAATTCATGATAATATTTGTGAACCAGTGTGGGATTTGAATTTCATCCAAAATTTTACGAACAAACTCCCAATTTAACATATCATAAGCCTTTTCCAAGTCGATTTTAATTGCCATGAAGCATTTTCTTCCTCTCATTCTACGCATTGAATGGATCAGCTCTTGGGTGATGATGATGTTGTCCTGGATATGTCGTTTAGGAACAAAACTAGCTTGGAAGGGAGACACCATCTCTTCCATTAGGGGCTTCATTCTGTTAACCAGAATTTTACTGAGGATTTTATAAATGACATTGCACAAAGAGATTGGTCTGAGCTGCTTAGCACTTTCAGGTCTCTTTACTTTTGGAATAAGGACCAGAAGAGTCGAGTTCACAAGGTGAATCAGATTGGGATTCTGAAACATCATGTTAACATCCTTAATAACATTAGTCTTAATAAGACTCTAATTCTTATGAAAAAAGGTAGCTGGAAAACCATCTTCCCCTGGAGCTTTTGACCCATTGATACTAAAAAAATAGCTTTTGAAATTTCGTCATCCGAAAGATTACGAGTCAGATTAGATAGAAGATCATCGTACAGAAGGGGCCAAGTAGTCTTTGATTTCACCCAATCACGATTAAGGACTTCCTCACTAAACAAGTTGCTATAGAAATCTGTTACCAATTGATGAAGTTGTCTAGCTTCCTTCACCCAAATCCCATCAGAATTTTTTAACTCAAGAATCCTATTCGAACTTCTTCGAGTAGCTGTTTTAATGTGATAGAATTTGGTGTTTCTATCCCCATCATTTATCCATTTCACCCTGGCTTTTTGAAACCATAAGATCTTTTCTTGTATGAGAACCGCATCAAGGTCCTTCCTAACCTCCTTTTCTCTAGATTGGAGAGATAAGTTGGTATGATAATCAACATGATTCTGAATTTCTGCAATACTATGCAATATGTTAGTCTTCCTATTGAAAATGTTGCCAAAGACTATCTTGTTCCATCTTTTTAAATTTGGAGTCAGATCATGCAGATTCGTTCTAGTGTCTTTCACAACATTCCAGCTCCTAGCCAGAAACTGAGTAAAGTTATAATGCTCCATCCAAGCAATCTCAAAGAGAAAGGGACGATTTTTCCAACCTGTGTCCAAGTTAGACAAGTAGACCAAAATGGGACTATGATCAGAATAAATCCGTGGAAGTACCTTAACGCCAGCATCAGTAAAGGTAGTCTTCCAACTTGCATTAGCACAGGCTCGGTTCAGCCTCTTAAAAACACGATCAAGATGAAGAAACTTCGGACCCTTCCATGTAAACCAAGGACCTGATCCTCCAAGATCCAGCAGCTTGCAATTATGAAGAACATTTGCAAAATTGGAACATCTGTTTAAGTTAACTCTACAGCCACCTTTCTTCTCATCCCGATTTGCTATTTCATTAAAATCCCCAGCCACCAACCACGGCCCATTACAATGGAGACTAATGTTTAGCAGATCATCCCATAGCTCCTTTCTATTTTCTTCCCTAGGACTCGCATAAACTGCCGTGCAAGAAAAGGAAGGAACATGAAAATTCTGAACTTTAAAATGAACAAACTGTTTTGTGTGATTAACAATTTCAACGAGACCAGTCTCATCATTCCAGAGGATCCAAATACCCCCTGAGTAACCTTCTGCCTCTTGAACAAAAGCATGCTTAAACCCAGATTTTCGGATAATGTCAGAAGCTTTTTGACCACTACACCGAGGTTCTAGAATCACTACAATACTAGGCTTATATTTCCTAGTAAACAGAAAAAGCGATTTTTGAAACTGGGGTTTCACTGCTCCCCTACAGTTCCAGAAGAATAAATTCATTAAAAACTATGTTGAACGCAAGACTCCAAGGTTCTTGCATCCTTCATTCTTGAAATATCTTCCTGGTGAACTCTGTCCACCTCCATGCACGTAGAGATGGTTGAGGTTTTAGGATTTTGGATGTCGCTGCTGTTGTCAACTGATATATCAGGACCAGTTTTATGAAATGTGTCATATAACTGCTCTTGATTCTGGTTCAAAGTGCTATTTGCTTTCATCCCATTTTCCTGATCATGTTGATTTGCTTGCATAGGACTAACCGCCATGGGAGTAGCAATTGATGGAGATGGTGGAACGCGAGTATGATCTTCACGATTTTCACTCTGGACTGGACACCTCTTACCCGTGCTTAAAGAATGAGCCGTATGCATAGTAGGAACCGTTGATTTAGTCCTAGGGGTATCTTTGGACTTTTTGGATTTAGTCAATATTTTCTGAGGAATTTCAAACTGAGGGGCCCCCATATGAGGAGTAACAGAATTAATTATTTGATTATGATCCTCCTCATTAATAGGTCCAGCTATTAAGATTGCAAACCGTGATTGCGTAATTTCCTCCTTATCACCATGATTATCTCCATGATTATCGCTGGTCATAACTCCCTTATTACCATGATTACCAAGATTATCGCTGGTCATAACTCCCTTATTACCATGATTATCGCTGGTCATAACTCTCTTATCACCTTGATTATCGCTGGTCATAACTCCCTTATCATTATTCCTTTGTAACGTTTTTGAACCAGCGCCTGGCTGGACTGCACCGGCCGTCTGAGGAGGTTGCCGGCTCCTGCGTTGACGGTTAACAACCATCCAAGGTCCCAATCCTTTGCTTCGATGGAATTCTGAGTTGCCAGGTTCCTCTTGATGAATTTGATCGTCATTATGAATATCGGATGAACTGCGTTGCTTTGGAGCAGCTGAACAATTCTCGGTGCTATGTCCATATTTCCCACAACCAAAACAAATGAGCCCTAATCCTTCATACTCAATTTGTTTGGTAAATCCTTCCAGCACATAATCACCCTTTAATGGCTGAGATAGGTCCAGTTCCACACATATTCTTGCAAACCGTCCTCTTACATGAGCATTTGTATTGCTGTCTACCTTGATCATCTTGCCTAACCACTTTCCAATCCTTCTAAAAAAAGCTTCATCATAGAATTCAATGGGAATATCCGGTAGACGAATCCAAGCAGCAATCTTAGCAATTCCAGCACTATTAGGTCTGAAAGTTAGTTCCCACTTCCTCAACGATAAATAATGACCCAAAACAATCCATGGACCACCGTTCAACGCAAAATTGAGATCATCCTTCTCACTAAACTGGACTACGAAAAAGTCATTACCAATATCAGTGACATTGATTTTGCCTTTTCTAGCCCATAAGACATTTATTTTTTTCTTCATAAACTCCACCCCAATTTTCTTCCCAAGGAGTTTAACAATCAGAGCTTTCTCCCAAGGTTTCCTCATTCTCTTCCTTGCTCTTTTGGTGCAACTAAAATAAGTACGCCCATCATCTTCCTCCCACATCTTAATTCCTCCATGGTTGACATCCTCTTCATCAGCAGGTTCCTCCCCATCTAAGTCTTCCTCGGCAGACGCCTCTCCTTTCCATTCATCATCTTCTCCATTATGACGCATCAAAATTTCCCTCCAGGTTGAACGTTGGCCATTCTCATCTTCCATCCAACCTTCATGTCTAGGTATCATAGATACATCATTTGAAAACTGATCTCCCTCACCTTTATTCCTCTTATTACTTCTTTGAAGAATGTCAAGTTCTTCACTTGATTTGCCAGGATTCTTCCCATGATCACCTTTCTCTCTCTCACTCATCGCTCACCAATCTTCCACTTGAATTAAGATCACTTTATTTGGTTCCATTTATTTTATTGTAACTCATTATAGTAAAGAGTTTATGAATAGAGACCATGTACAAATTTTGTACATCGACAACACAGGACCATGGAAAATGATCTTTCTTTCATTTTTGTCCTAATTTTCTCTCTCACTTTCTTCTCTTGCCTTTATTATAATCTAGTTACCCTTTAGTTTCATAACATGTTATTAGCACAATTCAGATTGTGTGATGATTCTGCTCGAATGATTCCTTTTTATTTTTCTCTCTTATTTATGTTTTCTTTTATTTACTCATTTTCTTGTTACTTACTTTAACTTTGATTATTTTGTAGTTACCTTTTATTCTACACTAGCGTAATGGAGCATAGTTTATTTTTAAAAAAAAGAGTATAATCAAAAGGTTAAGAGATTAAGGAAATTTTTCTCTGAAACAAGGTTATATTTTCCAATAGCTATGGAGAAAGGTTAGTAATCCAATTCTTAACATTATTTATGTAAAATCATGAATCCTAAATATGCCCTTTATATATATTCTTGTGTTCTTCTCTTTGCATTCAAATATGAATCATTAATTTTATTCTTAACAAACTAATTTTATTGTTTTTTGTTTTTCTAGTTAAATTCCCTCTGCATTAATATTTTAGACTACAACATGCTTTGATGTCAATCTAAAACTTTATTTTCACTGATTTTTTGTCACTGAAATTTTCCACTACAACATCGAAAATTTCATTTGTATTAATTTTTTTTTTTTTTGGGTAAGCTTCATTTGTATTAATTTATCAATGAAATTCTCAGCAGAAATATATTATCACTTGCTAGTCCAAAAGGGCTAATGCCACTACAAAAAAAGGATGATTAGTGGAGGGTTTTTAGTGGAGGTTAAGAAAGCCTCCACTAATTGATTTAATTTTTAGCAGGTTTTAAACCTCCACAATTCAATATTATATTTTGCTATTTTAAATTGTTTGGATATATATAATATTTTTTTATAATTTATATTTACTTTCTACGTATTATGAAACAGAACGAAGAGTTTTAAAAAATTTATATTTCTATTTTTACAAAAAAAAATTGTTGTAACCCTGACACCCTCTCTCGTTTATACGAATCTAAGCACTAATTCTCCACTGAGCCGCTACAACATTTCCTCCTCTTATTCAGACCTTAGCATTCCCTACTTTCGTTCGCTATCAGATTTCTCTCGATGGAGAGCTTCATTCTCCTATGCTTCGAAACCAGAGTTATTGGATCGATTATGGTAACTCACTTAGCTTCAATTTCTCATTATGTTTACTACTTGGCTTTTGAATTTTACATCTCTTCTTTTTAGATTCAAGTTTTTCAAATTCATGTTTCAAATTCAAAATTGCTTCAACCTGATCCTTGCTCTTCTCACCTTCGCTGATTCCAATTCTTAACTTGTGTGAGTTCTCCTTTAATTGATTTCCTTTGCTTTGTTGTTTAATTTATGATTTTATTATTTTGTATCAGATCAATGTTATTTGTTGGAACAAGAAAGCTGTTTAACGAAAATTTGAAAATGGAAATAATATGCCTATCATAGACTATGAATCTGTTTGAATCTTCTAAACAAAAGCCAAGTAGGCGAACAAGATTTTTGTGTTGGATCATTCCCATTGTGTTCAGTCCAGCTCTAACTTGTTTTTCTTCTCGTAATTGAACTTGAAGTTCCTTGACAGCTATAAAAGTTGAATCGGGGAATTCATCTTTGTAAACAATGCTAAAACCACCTTTCCCAATTTAGGATTTTACCTGTGCATGCCGTGTTTTCATTGAGTATTCATGCCGTGTGCAGTATGTAATCTAGGATTTTAAATTTTGATTTTTAGGGCTGCTGCACATCTATTTTGATTATGAACTTTGACTTTAGAGCTTGTTATGAACTTATTATCGTTCTTTATTAGTTAAGATATTAATTTTTTAATTCTATCTAGGCAACTAAGTGTGTGAAATTTTTTTTGTAGAGCTGCTTCAAGTGAACCAAGGAAAACTGAAGTTATTGAAAAAGAAATTATTAATATTCACTTGTAAAATCAGTGTTATTTTTATATTTTAAGACTTAGACTGAAAAAAGAAAGAAAGAAGAGACTTGTACAAAGTTTAGTATTTTTACGTGTATCTAATATATATGATAAGTAGTTCTACCTGTTACTGTGAAAATGGTTGCTAAGTTGTTTCTTCACTGCAAAGTCATCTGAATTTTGTTGCCTTTTTGGCTCGTTAGTGCAAATTATAATGCTTTTTTCACTGCTATATTTAGATGTGTAAATATTCTTTTTAATTTCTTTTTGGGGTTTTTGGATAGATTGTTTGAGGAATGCTTTCAACGTAGATGGTATCACACTACAGCTTGCTATATACTTGTAAGAATAACTTGCCTTTTTTAGTAGGTCTCTTTATATGTAGAAAAATTATTCTAGCTTTCTTATATTTATTTCTCTTTCTTATATCAGTCTTGCCCTATAAATAAGAATTGTTTGATTTAATTTTAAATCATAAGTCCCTTAAGTAGCTTGTTGCATTTGTGAAAGGCACTCTGTTCAATTTAGTGGTAAGAAGATCTTACTGATTGACTTGTTCTAATCCCCTTAAGATAATTTTCTTTCAATTTTGAAGTGTTTAAATTGTTCAATGACAATCAATTGCAGGAGTATGTACAACAAGAAAGATACGGGAGTGCTAGGTTGGAGAATTTTGCTTCAGGGCTTTAGCTAATAAGCCAAAAGGTTTAAGATTTTAACATTTGGAAAACAAAACTTCCTCTATGGTCATATTATGTACTTCATTTAATTGGTTTTAACTTTTAAATTTCAGTGGCCTAATATTGCTTTCTCTCTTTGCAACCTCTCTTTCTATGGAGGATACCTGATCCTGCTGTCATTGTACTTTCCTTCTATTATCTCTTTGATAGTTTTTTTTCTTCTATGGAAAAAATATCATGGCATCAAAGTGAACTTTTTAGGATGCTTATTACTGGACTTGGAATATATAAAGATGAGGCCACTGAAAGCAATGAGCAGATTTGGAGATTACAGGTTGCAATATTGTAGGCATGAATGCCTCTGAGAATATTTGAATCTGTGAATCAATTAATAGTTTGCTCATTCTACAGTTGATTTTCTCTAGATCTGATAGGGGATTGAGCTGATTCTGATCAATCCCGACCTGATACAAAATGAATATATTTCACTGTTTCTTATATGTAATTATTGTACATAAAAAAGAGGTATGGTTTATGGTATAAATTACCAACAAGGTCTCTAAGGTACTACATATATTTTCAAAACTTGGGACATATTATACATACCAGAAGCGAATCCTTTTGAGATCATTGCCCCCAGTAGGAAGAGACACAACGGTGATGTGAGCACCTGGCTCCATCTTTGCTATCCACTTGTTGGATCCAGTCATGTCCACCATCGCTACACTACCAGCTGGTGGTTGAGGTTGACGCCCTCCAGGGGTGGTGTTACCAATTGGGGATTGATTAGGGTTTGTGTAGTCCAAAGCAGGGGTTGAACTTGCGCTTCCACCACCAATGTAGCCGTATGGAACCCCCTCTTCAGAAACGGTGTCATACTTGATGCTCTTGGGGTTGCCAGCTTTGATTTTCTTCCCTGAAAGCTTCAGCGCCAGATCCTTAATCTGCATATGCAGAATAAAAATTCAAATTAGCATCAATGCATTTAAAAGTCTTAATCATGTACCATACAATTAATACATACCATGGAGTCTTAAGGTTTCAGGCTTAGGTCATTTTCAAAGCATCATACAATACCTTTACAGCTGGGCTAGTGGAGAATGTACTTGGTAGAGAATACATGCAAGTGGATGACAACAACATCCTTGAACGTGAAAGTCTATATATATATATATATATATCCTACTATCAACTATGCACCCCCAATGGAAAGCATTTTCTATTTGTAGAAATCTCCAGTAATTTCTATCCAAATATTACTTGTCCAATTTTTCACACAATTTAGAAACATTTGGTTCGAAATAGTTAGGAGAGGCATCATAAGGAAGAAGGAAGAGCATGAAGAAGAAGGTAAACTAATAAGCAAATATAAAGGAAGCAAAATAAAGAAGAAGGTAAACATTTGGTTTGATTTTGTTTGTTTTAACCAAGATGGAAAAAGAAGATGAAAAAAACAATGTTTGTTGAGAGAGAGGGAGAGAGTATTAAGGACCTGCGACGTCAGACCCTTGACGGCTTCTTTTGTGTTCGGCGTGCCGTTCCCACGGTCATCTTCATCCCCATCAACGGGGGTTGGCTTGGCACACGGATTCATGAACAAAAACATCTTCGCTAAAAAGCTCATCTTATCTTGAACAACAACAAAACAAGCAAACATTTATGGTTAGATTCCAGAGAATGAAAGAGTGTTTGTCAACAGTTGAGAATGGGAATGACATATAGAGAAGAAATGAACCATATCAATATATGTCATTGGTTCTGAATGGATAATAGAACAAAATAAAAATAATAATAAAAGTCATTGAAGGATGAAGTTAAGGTTATCACTTTCATTGAATGAAACAGTGACAGGAAATGGCCATTTACGGTAAACAAAAGCAATGATTAGGTTACAGGGAAAGCGCCGAAATAAAGACCACACAGATGCAACAATTGAGTTACAATGCAACTAATGAATAACAATGCTCCAAAAAACAACATCTTTCACGTGAAACAAAATGGTCCTAAGATAACTGTAACACCCCAAATTTCTAACAATTTATAAAACAATCTTATAATAAATAAATTGTCAAAATTCTTTTTTTTTTTTACAATTATAATAATAGAAATATTGCGAAAGCTAATCTAAATCTAATTTGGGGAATGTTACCGCCGCACCTGTACAATGGACAGGTGCAAGGCTAAATTTATTACATTAAAATAAAACCAAAGACTAAAGTTTAAATAAAGGAAATATGTCTTATGCATTTAT